TGTGCATGACACAGTATTCAAAAAATGCAGCGCTCAAGATAAAATGCGTTAACTTAAAAAAAAAAAAAAAAAAAAACGTGTATCAAAACCTTGCATGTCCCCCCCCATCACACTGCCCACGTCTCAAATTTTTCAAAGCAAAGATGTGTTCTGTGTGAATTTACAGTGTAATAAAATTAATGAATATTTTAAAATAATACCATGTGAGTGTTAGATGACAGCAAAGGTAATATATATGTAAAATAGGGTAAATGAGCATGTACAAATAATAATAATAATAATATATAGTAAATTATACACTATACAGTAAATTAAAATATTGGATATTTAAATGCACATGCTTATTTACTGTGTTTTGTATTTGTATTATCTTTGCCATCATCTAACGCGATGGCAAAAAATAAAAAAAAGTGAGCCCTCAAAATAAAAGGGGTAAAATTAAAAAAAAAAAAAAAAAAAACGTGTATCGAAACCTTGCATTGTCCCCCCCCATCACACTGCCCACGTCTCAAATTTTTCAAAGCAAAGATGTGTTCTGTGTGAATTTACAGTGTAATAAAATTAATGAATATTTTAAAATAATACCATGTGAGTGTTAGATGACAGCAAAGGTAATATATATGTAAAATAGGGTAAATGAGCATGTACAAATAATAATAATAATAATATATAGTAAATTATACACTATACAGTAAATTAAAATATTGGATATTTAAATGCACATGCTTATTTACTGTGTTTTGTATTTGTATTATCTTTGCCATCATCTAACGTTCACATAGTAAATTAAAATTAAGATAAATTTAATTTAATATAGAATTTATATTATTAATATCTGCTGATATGGTATTGATATGCCTTGTGTCCCTAAACTCAAACTGAGCAGAGGTGTTCTATTACAAACTTTCTATGACACATTTTCATGTTTAGGAAGTTATTTATGGTTATGTGTATGTGTGGATGGATGGATTGAGAGAGCTTAGATAACCACCAATCTCTTCCAGCATTTCACCTCTGTCAGATTTATAGTTTGTATTTTTATCTAGTAATCGTACCTATTTAGGTTGCACTTTTCACAGTTGAAATCTCAAAGCTATGATTGGACAAATCACAGCATTTGACATGTTTTAACCAATTTTAGTAAATTTACTTAACATCAATTGGTTAGAGAACAGTTCCTCTTCAGGAACTCGAGCTGCGTCGAAAAACGCTAGGGGAACGCCGTTCAGCGTGACGGGCTCTGAATCTCGTGTGTAATCAGACCAACAGCTGGGCGAGACGTCACGGCGGGTGACGTAATGACCAGGAAGCTATAAAAGCACGTGCGGTGAGACCAGCGTCAGCTTTTTGTCATTCAGCAAGCGCTCTGTGTGTGTGTCAGTCTGATATCTGTTTGTGAGTCATATTTGGTGTTGTCTGTCCCGTAGGGCTAGAAAATAAAGAAAATAATTATGTCCAAGGCACATGACAAGTCATATCATTTGAGTAGGGGCGAAGGCAGCCAGCGTTTCAAACTGTGTGTTCCTCCCTGCCCGCGTTTCATTACGGGTGCGGATACACACAGTTTGTGCGTTGTCTGCCTGGGAGCGGAGCATGCTGAGTCAGCTCTAGTGGCCACCCCGCCCGTGGTCTGTGGAGTGGTCGCCATCTCACGTGGCATATCAACTGCCTGGAGATGCTGGCCGTGCTGCATGCACTGAGTTATTTCCTCCCGGACCTGAGAGGCCACCATGTGTTGGTGCGCACCGACAACACAGCAGTGGTCTCTTATATCAACCACCAAGGAGGTCTGCGCTCACGCCGGTTGTGCAAACTAGCGTACCAGATCCTTGTGTGGTCCCAGGGCAGACTTATCTCGCTGAGAGCAGTTTTCATCCCTGGGCGTCTCAACTTGGGAGCAGACATCCTGTCGAGGCAGGGGCCGAGGCCCGGGGAATGGATGCTGGCCCGTTTCTCTGCCGGGTTGACCCACTCCACCCTGAAGATCTACGTGGCGGCTATTGCAGCCTACCACGCCCCTCTTGGTGGCCAGTCAGTGGGTAGGCAACCACTAGTGACACGTTTCCTCC